ACACACACACACACACACACACACACACTCACACACACAAACACACACACACATGTTTTTTTAATCCTCCCCTTTTTCTACATCCCACGTCCACACATTCACCACGTGTATAACTCAACCTCTGATCACTGACCTTGTATTCCTCCTTCATGAACTGAGGTCCGAAACTAGCCATTTTATTCTTGAAAGACTTCGGGAAACAGATGAAGAGGATGTCCGAAATTGGAATCAGGTAGCGTGGGTCCACGTCTCCGGGCTTGTTCATTCCTGATGATGGAAAACGAAAGGTTAGAGAAATTGAAAAAAAATGGCAGTGATGATTAAGGAATATTTCAAGTTGGAAACATGATTTTTAAAATAACAGGATCAGACGTATTGAGACGTTACAAAGCCGCGGAGAGATATCTATCTGATAAGCATAGCTGGTTGGTAGTTCAAGATCAAAGATCAAACCAAGAGAAAATTTAGTAAAAAAATTAAAAGCCAAACACGCGTTTGGTTTTTTGAATCAGGGCATACATTTGCAATAATTCCAGGCCGAAAAATTGTTGAAACGTGTTGGAAACATAATATGGTCGCTCCTATGCACAAGGGGGCTATCCCGAAGAATGCTGTTTTGAGAAAATTGAAGTTAACGTTTTTGGATCCGTATTCAGTATCTGTAAAAGACAAGGAGAGTTTTCTCTATAATCAAACAAATATACACACCAAGAAAACCAAACTTCTCCTATAGGTAGGGCAATGCCCATTTTTCGGGTAGGTCAATATTTCTGGAAACCCCCGACACCTGGGTTAGCCCGCTTGTTCTTAAAAGCGACCATATGAGACAGTGCACGGTATAGTCATGGTACACGAGACGAAAGACTGTGACGTTGTAATTTACAGAATGCAGAATAGCATCCAGAGAGAGTTGTTGCGTATGTCGCAGTGGACAGACTGAGGGAGGTTTTTTAAAATGTATTTATATTATGGTGAACATTGCTGTCAGATCATGTGGAAAATATATTCTTTTTTGACGAGTTCAACGCACTCACACACACACACACACACACACACACACACACA